CCCACTCCCAGCAGCACTGGCCTACACCGTGGCCTCTGTCTCAGAGCTCACCTGTATGTGCTCAGCCCTTATCCTGCGTGACAGTGAGGTGACAGTGACAGGATAAGATCAGTGCCCTCATTAAAGCAGCTGGTGTAAATGTTGAACCTTTCTGGCTGGGCTTGTTTGCAAAGGCTCCGGCCAATGTCAACATTGGGAGCCTCCTGCAATGTAGGGGCTGGTGGACCTGCCCCAGCAGCTAGTGCTGCCCCAGCAGGAGGTCCTGCCCCTCCACCCCTGCAGCCCCAGCCGAGGAAAGTGGAGGCAAAGAAAGAAGAGTCTGAGGAGTCTGATGACAACATGGGGTTTGGTCTTTTTGACTAAACCTTTTGTAACACATTCAATAAAAGGGTCTCTGTTGACCAAAAAAAAAAAACAACAAAAAAGTCAGATCATGATTTCCCAACCCGATAATTCCAGTTCAGGGTCACACGTGACAAGCCTCTCCTGGCTTCTCAGGGTGATCCCACCCTGGACAGGCCACCCTCCCATCGCAGGTGAACTCACACCCACTCACACTTACACTCACACTGGAACGGTGTAGACACCATTCACCTCCCTTGTTCGGCTCTGTGACATGGGAGGAAACTGGAATTCCTGGAGAAAACCCACGCAGACACCGGGGCACCGGGCACACTCCAGGGACAGTGGCCCCAGACAGGAAACTGTTGTTTTTTTCCTCAAAAACATTATCTTGAAACGATGTGAAACAAAATGACATTATTCAAGGAACTGCTATATTACAAATTATTGCTTATCTTGTCTTAGTAATTTTTCTATTTTAAACTAAAAAATAAGAATAAACTCATACACATAATTATAAATAACTAGCTTATTTTCATGCTTATCTGAAGATGATATTGTACATTTAGTCATGAAGTCATAAAAAAATGAAACTAAACTTCCTTTAAAAGGTTTTTAGTTCTTCATAGGTTTTTTATTCCACAATATCTTTAACTGTTATTTAAGAACATATTTGAATGATTATAAAAATAAGCTATTCAAAATAAGAATTTAACTAGTAGTTCTTTTCTTAAATATCACATTGTGGTATCTACTTGGAAATAAACTATGTTCTTTAAGGGTTCTTGCCTTCGTACAGTCCCCAGTATTTTGTTACGAAAAATACCAATTGAAAAGTGGGGCTGTCGCTTTGTGGAAGGGGGGCCCTGCTTCACCCTGTTTACTGAATGCTACTCTGTGCCAGGCAGTGTGATGACCTGGGAGGCAGTGCTGGGGAAAGACGTTAACCCGAGAATGACCCAGCCATCGGTTATACTTGAGACAGACATCAGGAAGAAATGTGCAGCCTGACAGGACCAATTACGTCTGGCTCGGGGCAGGCTTCCTGACTGTGCCGCAGCTGGGATCTCAGGTGTCAGCCGAAAATGGTCACAGGTTTCAGTAATTAAGGTTGCTGCTAGGACTTTTATTACCCGCCTGAATTCTAAGTGACACCCATTGAGTTCATCAAAAATCCAGTTAGAATTATGTGTAAGATTGCATTCGGTGTGAGCTGCCTTGTGGAGAAGTGACATCTTGCTACTGTGACATCCCCCCACCCTGGAGAGCGGCCAGCCCCGTTGCCCGCTGGGGAGCTCTCCAGTGCCCTTCCTTAGGCCTGGTAACTAGCTGGCAGTGCGTCCCTTGGCCATTGTGGCCATGTACCTGGGTCCTATCAGCTATGTTTCCATGTTGCGTGTTAGTGGAGAGGGTGTTGTCATTAGGTTTGTATTTTTGGGTTTTGTTGGGTTTTGTCTCCGTGGCCCAGCTGAGATGGTCTCTCTGTTGCCTCTATTGGTTTTTCCACATACGTTATATTATTTACAAGCAAATACAATTTTTTTGTTTTAAAAAGATGTAGATGGGCTTCCCCCGCCCCAGTATGTCTCTCAGCAACATGACTCCGAACCTTGTATTCCTATTACAGGAGGAATGGTGTCTGGAGGGACTGTAGTTTGGCCTTCGGTGGACTCTCCTTTATGAATCCTCCTCACGTGCACAAAACAGCATCGGTATCATAGTAGAGTAGCCCTCGTGGTGTCGCACAAAGAACTGAATAATGAACTTCTCTTTCCTCGTCGTCTCTGAAATTAGATTACGGTGGTGTCCTCTGGAGTGAATCCCTTCATCTCTTACACCCCCACACGTCCCCTGCACTGCAGTGACCTCCATCGTGAGTGTTTTACTACTTTCCCTGCTAGTGACGGCTACCAGGATAGAAAGGCTCTGTAATCCTGCTGCCCAGGCCATTTGGTTGGCATCTAATTCAGTGAACGTAGTGATTTGGTGGGCTGGTTTTAAGTACTGAAAGTGGAAGAGTCCAGAAGGCCGTAAAAGCAGATGCTGGCTAACATTACAGAGTCCACTCCACCACAGTAGCCGTGTAGGCCACAGACTCGTGCCCACCCTCGAGGTGATTCTTCATGCCTAGTGCTTTCCCACTTCACCTGTGCCCATGCAAAGGGGATTTACTGCTCTCAGATGAGTAAACCAAGGCTTAGGGGCAGGATTTTCAGCCTAGGGTCGTGCTTTTGGGTGAGAGGAGGCCAGGAGAGGCTGTCCCCCAAGGCCATGCTGTTCTCTGTGTGACCAGACTCTAGCTGCATTGAGCCCAGTGAGCACTCGCACTGGGATTTCAGCTGAGTGGCACAGGGGGCCTGTGATCACATCAGACCTCAGACTTCCAGACCGATGGGAGACAGGAGGTTCCCTGTGGCTTCCGGGGCATGACGTTAACGAAGGTCACGTTGTTTCTCTTAGACGGAACTCCACACAGCTGGGCAGCACGCTCCCTTTGAGCACACAGACATCAGAACCATGGCACTCATACTTGACCTCCAAAGCTTTTGTGCTAAGAAATATTGCTAGGATAGAAACCCACGAATAACTCGCAGTGGCCTCCTGTTTGCCATCTTCTCTTCTAGCCTTTTTAAAACATGAGCATTAAGTTAATGCAGTGCAGTGTGGTAGGAAAGGAGGGTATAAATGACAGTGGGAGATTTGTTTGTTGCCTAAAATAAATAACTTTTTATCAATTAGAGTTGGTTAAATGACACTTTTTGGGTCATGGGCGATCACACTTCAGGGCCACCGAAAGGGGACTTCTGCAGTAAAAGCAACTTGGCCCACATCCCCTGCAGCCTCTAGCTCAGCATCTGGGACTCGGTGAGGTGCAGGCATTGGGGACGGGCCGAGGCTACCGGAACGCCCTGCATGGGGGCTTCACCGTAAAACCAGAGCCAGCCCACTGCCATAGTCACAGTGATCAGAGAACAGACCAGCGGGTGGGGACAGAGGTTGATGGAACTGTCAGCCTGTGGAGGGAACTGTCAGGGAAGGGAACTGTCAGCCTGTGGAGGCTACTGGGCGAGGCGAGCCCCATGGGGCAGGGCCGGGCTGGACTAGGGCAGGGCTGGCAGCTGTCCACATGGGATTCCTTCTTCCTCAGGGACCACAGTGTCACTCCTAAGATTTTTCAACTGGCTGGGTTGAAAAATGATGTTAAGGTTTGGGGTTTGGTGTCAATAACAGTGAAGACAGGATGAAACTCAGTGGGGGCACGTCCTGGACTCTCCGTGGGTATGTTCTAGTTGTTTTCATGAAGTCAGGCTGTCATTAGGGTCAAGTGTTTGATTTTGTGCTTTGGGGTATGATGGGACCAGGGACTTTTCTGATCACCTTTAAGAGCCCAACTCTGTTAACAGGCAGGTGGTAGGTTCAGACTCAGTAAGGTAGCTGATCATATTTAAACTTACTACCAAAATAAGTGGGCCATATAGAGAAACTGAACTTTTTCATTTATATCATGAATGTTTCAGTTATGTTGTGCTTTATTTAGAGAGCTAACTTCATATTAACCACATGGGCATTAAAACGCACCTGTGCTCCAGAGAACCCTAGACTGAATGCAGAAAATATCTGTTCTAAAACACATTGATTCTTTTGTTGTTATTGTTAATCTTCACCTGAGGATACTGATTTTGGATTTTCCAATGATTTTTAGAGAGGTTGGAAGGGAGAGAGGGATGGGGGGGTGGGGAGAAAGAGAGAAACATCAATCAGTTGCCTCCTGCACGTGCCCCGACTGGGGCCAGGAATCGAACCTGCAACCCAGATACACACCCTTGACCGGGAATTGAACCCACAACCCTTCAGTGCCTGGGCCGACTCTCCAACCACTGAGCCACACCAGCCAGGGCCATTGATTCATTTTTATGAAGTTGAAAATAAATGGAGCCTGGGATGAGGGACTGGTGATGGGCATATAAAGATGGGGATCTGAGAAAAGAGTTGTGAGTCCTACGAAGATATCACCCAAACCACAGAGAAACGTCTTCTCCCTAAGTCATTTCTTTGTGAGTACAAACACTCAGGGAAGTCATAGCTGTCGTGTCCCTGGGCACACAGCCAGGCTGTCCTGTGCCAGTTCTTGCCAGCATGCAGCCTGCCTCTAACAGTGACCCTCCAGCTGCGCACTGAGAAGTCCCCATCTTGACTGTCACCATCAGTGTTGATTGCAGAGGGCTCTGCATCAGTCACAGGGTGTCCCCATGCAAAGTGGCATTTGCCACATATCACCATCTTCAGTTCTTTATCTCTGCTCTTTCCTTCACAATCTCACCCTTTCCTTACTAGACTTGGAATGTTTTTCTTGCTTTTGCACTGACTGGATATAATAAAGGCCTTAGATGCCATCACTGCCATCGGCATCTGTAGGTGCTGTTTGTCTCTGAAAGTCAGCAGCTCAGAGTCAGGTGGGCATCTTGGGCTGCCTGTCCACAGCCACATTTCCTGCTGTGGTTTTGACCAGGATCTCGGTGGGGGCCCACATTGCTTCTGAATTTTGAGATAGATAACCACTGGAGTCAGATCTCATTAGAATTACTTAAGATTGTTTTCAATGTTCCTTGTAATATTTTTAATGTCCTGGTTATAATCATAGACTATGTGGATTTTAGTTTGCAGTTAACATGTTTCGAACATTACCACCTTCCTCCAATCCTACGGGAGCAGAATTTGACCCAGAAGAAGATGAACCAACATTAGAAGCGGCCTGGCCTCACCTACAGGTACTGAACTGGGGATTGCGCCAGAAACGGGCATTAGTGAGGTGCGCGTGTTCGTGGGTCTTCCTCTACCACAGGTGCACCAGCCCAAGGGCCTCACCCTGGCTGGTTGCAGGTGGACCTCTGATCGTTCTGGCCTTGCACACCTGTGTGTACGTGAAACGTGTTTTAGCAGAAGAGAGAACATTTGATGGTTTTTCTTTGTGTGGATGGTCTGTATGTTAGCAACAGAGATGGAATTTGTCAGTATGTCTTTGATGGAAATGACCACTTTGCTGGCGGCCGTTGAATTGAGGCCTGGGGGACTCGCACACTTCCCAGTTTGGGTACTTAGATTTAACGTGCTCCTCAGCGCACCCTCTGACCAATGCCTTTCTCAGAGCATTTGTGAGGCGAGAGGTTGATGGGGAGCATGCCTATGGGGGGCACTGAGCCCACCCTGAGCAGAGTGCTGGGTAGCGAGGTCTGGGTGATTCTAGGAGGGGAGGTGGAGAGGTGAGAATTCCAGGAAGGAGCCAGGTGGAGAACAGGCTGAAACGGAGGACTGTCCCGGTAGCAAAGCGTTCCTGCCCGTGGCACCTGAGACCCCTGCATAACCATCTGTGACCTCACTGACCAGTCCCAGCTGCTGTCCACCTGGCTCTCCCAGGACACTCGGAGGTGACAGGCTACAAATCCCACCCAGAGCTTGGTCACGGCCAGCTGTGGCTGCTGTGCACTGTGGTCTCAGCAGCATAATTTAAACATTGGTGACATCAGCACAGAAATCATTTTGTTAAATGCCATTTAAGGAGATACGTCTTTGGTTCTTTGTGAAACAGTTACCATCTTCAGTTTTAATTAAATTAGGTCATGGAATTTGGCATTAATTCTATAGATACATGGCTTTTTTAAGCCTAATATTTGCACACAAAGATTCAACTCAGGGTGTATTTTTAATCTCCAGTTAATAAAATACCATGTTTTTGACTCATTGTTGTTGTTTTTTTTCTCCTAGCTTGTTTATGAATTTTTCTTAAGATTTTTAGAGTCTCCTGATTTCCAACCTAATATAGCGAAGAAATATATTGATCAGAAGTTTGTATTGCAGGTAAGGTATCAATTAGCTGAAGCCACGAATCCCTGATTCACAGGAGAATCCCAGGTCACTAAGTGTCTTTTTTCTTCTTAAAGCTTTTAGAGCTCTTTGACAGTGAAGATCCTCGAGAGAGAGATTTTCTTAAAACTACCCTTCACAGAATCTACGGGAAATTCTTAGGCTTAAGAGCTTACATCAGAAAACAGATAAATAATATATTTTATAGGTAAGTCAGTGGGGGTGACGTCTGTCTGCACAGTGATGTTCGTTTTCATGCTAAATGCCCCCACCTCATGGTTCCTTCAGCAGGTGACCAAGGAGCAGCAGGGGCTGTTTCTGAGCCGCCAGCTGGCAGCTGGTCATGTCCGGGTGGCTCCAGTCTGCACCTGTGTCTCTGTGCTGGGCTGGGGCTGGCCTGACCCCTTCCCACCCCCTCCCCACAGCCCACTCCCAGCATCTCACCAAAGCTAAGTTCCTCCCTCCCCGGTTCCTTCATCCGTCCCCATTGCACCTCAATGAAAGGCTCAGGAGATTTGAGCCCGACATCAGAGGTTTGGGCACTGCCCTGTGCATCCAGGGGAAAGGCGGCCCTGCTGGGAGCAGCACGTGGAGGCCAGGCAGCTGTCAGCGGTCACGACCACCCCCACCCCTAGGCCTGCGGGGCCACGGAGACTGGGAATGTAGTCACGGGAGTTTATGAGGAGGAGGGCATAGCCCATGGCTCATGAGAGAATGTTCCATAATGTTCTGTGTGCAGTGTTCACCTTGACCTCTTGACCCCAACCCTCCACACCCAGTCTTGACAGCCCTCCAACATCCCTTCCTCTCTGCTGCTGCTGCCTCTGAGTCACTCAGTGACCGATGTCCTCTAGGCGAACAGGTGTTAAGTCCTGGGCAGGGCACTGGGTCCCGCAGGTCCAGCTCCTCACAGTCAACTCCCTGCTCAGCTTCGGCTCCTTCCACACCACCACTTGACTGCCTTGTTTGATCTTCCTGGGATGTTCTTTCCCACCAGCCCTTCTCCTCAACCTGCCAGGCTTCTGGAAACACCTGCCGCCAGGAGAGCCTCCCTGGCCTGGTGGGTGGGTATGGTCTCCCCGTGAGGGCAGGTTTTGTGTCAGTTGCTCTGTCACACACCCAGTGCCAGCTCATGCCCAGCCATGGTGGCACCAAATAAATGGCAGTGAATGAAACAGTTAATGCAGTTTCTTATCTGTCCCTGGAAGGCTTACTAAATTAGTAGTTTGTTCTATGAATTGTGGCTTCTCAGGAAGGCTTACCCTAAGGCCCCGACTCCAGGATGGCTCAAGGCAGTGACAGGTCCTAGTGGGGACAGGCACAGTGTGCAGGTCCGACCCTCTGTGAGATAGTCTAGCTACAGCACCAGTGAGAATAGGGACCCCAGCGGGAGCACCATAGAGGCCAGGTGGGTCCCCTAGACACCATGACCAAGCATGGGAGAAGGAAAGGACCAAGACGGATGGGTAGATGGAAAATATCCCACAGATGAGTCCAGCAACCTCTCTGGGGAGTCTGTCACCAGTTCCTCTCGTCCTGTCTCCAGCCTGGCCCTGGTGTAGGACCCAGTCCTTGAGGTCTCCCTGGCCTGCGCTTCTGTGGTCATCAGGGTGTAATCCTCTCCCTGTCTTCACATTTGATGCGGGGTTCCAAAGTCAGAGCCTTCCCGTGTGAGTGGCTGCCCTCTGAATTCCCCACGTCCACTTTCATAGCAGCCCAGCCACACAGCCCTGCACCCAGACAGTGACGCCATGTGCATGGGCCTCGTTATGTTCTTGGTGTCATACCTCCTCGTTAACAAGATCATTACTTGGCTGGTGTACTTATCTATCAAAACATAATATACATTATTTAAGTGAGAGGTGCAATGTATATTTTGGTCTTTTAGGCCTAAAATTAGAGCTCCACCTAAAGTAGGTTTTTTGTCCTTAAATGGAGGTTTTGTTCTGATGATCACAAATCAATACCTGCATTAAAGAGCCCTAACTTAGTAACTGAAATACTTAAAAAGATTATTGAAAAGTTACTACACATAGTTTAGTTCTGTTCTCACTAAATGCTCAATGCGAGAGTGTGGTGTGTGTTTTTTCAGTAATTTTTTTCTGTAATCATCATTCTTGAGACATACAATCAAAAGTAAGCATATCAGGTAGAGTCCATGTCATTTGGGTCTCCACCCTCAACACTACTACCTCCTCATTTCACGTGAGAAACAATTCAGGAGAATGACCTTGAGAAACATTCAGCTCATCGAAGTTCCTCGTAGCACAGCTGTATCTTATAAAAAAAGGGTATGCCAAACATTTGCTCCACCTTACTGAAAAGTTAAGAAGTTCCGATTTCTATAGTTTCTCATCTAATCAGCATTTTTAAGGTGTGGTTTAAAGAGAGCTGAGATAGCGGGAATGCCTGCTTGGGCAAACAGTGGACCCGAAGGTTAGGTGCCTGGGTGGGGCCGGGCTTCTGTCCCCTACTGCGTAGCAAACCAGCCCCCATCTGAGTGGCTGAAACCACAATGTGCTCTTTCTCACGATTCTTACACCCGGCTCACGGTGTCCAGGAGGGCCGGGGTGGCCACAGTGGCTCGGGGCAGCGCGATCTCTGGGCCACAGCAGCTCCCAGGAGGGGGAGCGAGGCTGCCAGGCCTCGAGGGCGTGGCCGGGATGGTTCAGACCCCCACCCTGTGTGTGGGCCTCAGCCCCTCGGCCAGGGCTGGACAGCCCAGACTCGGAGGAGCAGGAAGTGGCCCCACCTCTTCACGGAGGGCAGGGCTCGTCCTGCAGGGAGGAGGGGACTCCATGGGTCCTCTTTGGAGGCCGTCTATGACAAGCAGTGTTGAGAGGGTCCTGATTCCTTTCATGCTGAAGGGGCGAGAGCCCTCGCCTGCTCTGCACGGATTGCCCTGGCTTCCCTCCCATCTCGCTCCCTGCTGTTTTGTCTCCCACTGGAAAAGTGAGGAGAAAACTTTCTCTTTTTTATACCTATCTCAAGTCAGGTTAAAATAATTAGGAATTAAGAACTTACCAAAAAGAAAATAGTATTGACTTAGGGAAACAACATGCTCGTCATAGCTAAAAGTCCCCTTATTCAAACATTAAAGCTGGCCGAGCCGGTCAGAAGCAGTGCAGGGGCGGGGGGCATGGTCAGGCTCCTCTGTTTGTCGGCCGGGGCTCCCCCAGGTCTATATCTCAGACACCCAGGCCCCCGCCCAAAGGCCTGCGACTCCCGCAGTCTGAGGGAGGGGAATCGTACCGGAAGGTGCTGGGGTGTACCGCATGCAGTGCTGTAGCTCTGTACTTTAAACTGTCTTGAGTATTTCACAGCCCTGAAGCAGAAGGGAGCCTTCAGGCTGTTTCACGAATTCAAGTGCTTCCTGGTATAGATGGCCACGGAGGCCGTGGCGTCACGTGAAGGGCGCACAGGCCAGTGCCAAAGGAAGGGCGGTGGCAGCGAAGGGATGTGTCTGCTGGTGGCACAGCCCCCCCCCACCGGCTGCCACGCTCCATTTGACACTTCTCTGCCGACCTTTGTGCCGCCACCAGATTCGCTTCCTTGTCACTGTTTTGCTGACCCTGCCGCCTGTGGGCTCGGATCCGAGTTGGTCTCAGCTGGCCTCCAGCCTCCACGGGCCGCCCTGCCCACCTTCCCGCAGGTGCCTGCTGCCCACTCGGAGTCACAGACCTTTGTTCTGGCCAAATGAGTTCTCCCCCCACTCCACACCCGTTTTTAGAAACCTGGGAGTTCTCCCTCGGCGCAGTTCAAGCACCGGCCCCTCAGTGGACAGGCCGCCCAGTTTTATACGGGGTGGGGCAGGAGGTTTGCAGTTGTTCATATGGAAGGTAGTACAGTAATTAATAAATGACATACAAGAATAAACTGGTTTGCTTACTCGTGACTGTAAACCTCCTTTGCCCACGCTGCCGATGCGTTAGGCTGTCCTGTGGGATTATTTTACATCCTGTGGGTGTTCATGTTTCCAAACGAGGACATTGGCATTGGAGTGACATTCTTTATCATTCACAAACTTCTTTTTGGCTTAGAGCTGTGTCTACACTAACTTTCGGCCCCACAGGCAGGAACTGTTTTCCAACACCCTCAGTCCGTCCGAATCAGCTGTGGGCTGGTTTAGACTAACCCGGCGCGCGGGTGTGAGGCAGGGCCCGGCTTCTGAGCCGATCCTTTAGGAAGAACACGCCTTGCTCTTTTGTGTCCCTGTTCCTGCCCACTGTCCCAGTTTATTCAACACACGTGTGAAGTAGATGATGGCCGGTGGGCCGGTCCCGGCGCCGGCCCTCAGGCTGCCCTGCGGCCTCGGCTGCCCGGTGCGGGA